CACTTTCCTAAAATGTGTAATTCCCCATTCTGCAAAGTAAACATTTCACCCTTCATAACCGAACCTCTCTTAACAAACCTGAAAATAAATAGGTAGAGAAATTACAAGCAATTATTTGGGAACTATTTAATATTCCTACATTCATATCTACTCATTTGCTATTTAGATCCTTTGCTCCTGTTACAAAGAATGGCTCATTCCATTTAAGTATCCACCAAAGTCCAAACCCCTCATCTGTGTCATGTATCCTGCTCCTCAAGCCTTGGGAAGAGATCATTTTCTCCATTTATTTCATCTTCTTACCAGTTTCTCTTACTCTCCTGAATCATCCTCCAGAGTAAATAAGTAGATTGATATTTAAAATGTTAATTTAAATAATCCCACACTCAACTGCAATCTTGCCTTGGCCCATTTTTTCATATATGTGGCCTTTATTAGGTTGAGCTACATCCCTCTATACAGACTTTGCTGAAAGTTTTTAACATAAACACATGCTGGATTGTATCAAATGCTTTTTCTGTATCTATTGATATGATCATTTGACTGTTATCTTTCATTTTGTTTAGGCGATGTATCATATTTATTGATATGCAAGTATTGTACCAACCTTGCAGCCCCGGTTAAATCCCACTTGATCATGGTATATGATCTTGTTAATTTATTGTGGGATCTGGTTTGCTCATATTTTGTTGAGGATTTTAGCAGAGATATTGGCCTATAATTATCTTTCCTTGTTGTGACTTTATCTGGTTTTGGAATTAGGATAATACTGGCTTTGTAAAAAGATCTTGGAAGTCTTTACTCCTGTTGAATTTTTTTGGAATAATTTGAGAAGGATAGGTGTTAGTTCTTTGAATGATTGGGAAAATTTGCCTGTAAAGCCATCTGGTTCAGGACTTTTGTTTGTTGGGAGTTTATGGATCACTGCTTTAATTTCATTAATTGTTATTGGTCTATTCAGATTTTCTGATTCCTCCTGATTCAGTTTTGGAAGGATATATTTTTCTAGAAATTTACCCATTTCACCCAGGTTACTGAATTTTTTGGCATATAGTTGTTCTTATATATGAGTATTTTCCTATAATCCTTGTATTTCTATGATATCAGTTGTTACTTCTTCTCCTTCTTTCCTGATTTTATTTATTTGGGTCCTTTCTCTTTTTTTCTTTATGATCTGGTTAGATGTTCATCAATCTTGTTTATCTTTCCAAAGAACCATGTCAGGTTTCATTGATCTTTTGTATAGTTTTTTTAGTCTCTATGTCATTCGTTTCTATTCTGATCTTGATTATTTTCTTCCTTCTACTCCCTCTGGGCCTTGCTTGTTGTTGTTTTTTCTAGTTCTTTTAAGTATATAGAGTTAGAATGTTTATCTGAGATTTTTCTTGCCTCTTGAGGTAGGCCTGTAATGCTATTAACTTCCCTCTCAGGACTGCTTTCACTGTTCCCATAGATTTGGGGTTGTTTTATGTTCATTTTATTTGTTTCCAGGTAATTTTTGACCTCCTTCTTGATATCATTTGTAATCCATTCATTATTTAATAACATGCTACTTAGACTTTATGTCATATTTGAATGTTTTTGTCTGTTTATTGAGGTTAATTTCTAATTTCTTGCCACTGTGATATGAGAAAATGCTTGATGTAATTTCAAACTTCTTGAATTTGCTAAGGCTTATTTTGTTTCCTAACATGTGGTCTATCTTTGAGAATAATCCATGTGCACTTGAGAAGAATATATATTCTGCTGCTTTGGGATGAAATATATAAGTATCAATTAAATCCATTTGATCTAATGCGTCATTTAGTGTGACAATTTCCGTGCTCATATTTTGTCTGGAAGATCTATCCATGAATGACAATAGGGTGTTGAATTCCCCTACTATATCTGTATTGCTGTCTATCTTTTACTTAAATTCCACCAAGATTTTTTTAATATATTTAGGTGCTCCTATATTGGATACGTATGTTTTTACAAGGATTATATACTCTTGTTGGATCAATCCCTTTAATATTATGTACTGACCTTCTTTGTCCCTTGTTTTGGCCTTTGTGTTGAAGTCTGTTTTGTCAGATATAAGTATTACTACCCCAGCTTTTATTTATTTTCATTTGCATGGAATATTTTCCTCCAACTCTACTTTCAGCCTGTGTAAATCTTTTGTTCTGAGGTTGATCTCTTGTAGACAGCATATATATGGGTTATGTTTTTTAATTCACTAAACTACCCTATGTCTTTCATTTGGAGTATTTAATCAATTTACATTTAAGGCTATTATGTAAATAGGTACTTATTCACTACCACTTTAAAAATTTTACCAATGTTCCTCTCTTTCTTTTTCTTATTCTTAAAGCAGGTACTTATTTCATGCAATACTGATCCCTGTAATAAACTCCATTAGGTTTTTTGTTTGTTTGTTTGTTTGTATTTGGCCTTCGATTTTAAATAATAGCTTTCTTGAGTAGTGTATTCTTGGTTGCATGTTCTTACTCTTAATACTTTAAATATTTATGCCAATTCCTTCTTGCTTGAAGTGTCTCTGTTGATAAATCATCTAATAGTCTTATGTGAACTCCCTTGTAGGTAACTGTCTCTCTTTTGCTGCCTTTAACATTCTCTCTTTATATTGGTCATTTGCCTTTTAAATTATGATGTGTCTTGGTGTGGGTCTCTTTGGGTTCATCTTGATTAGAATTCTCTGTGCTTCCTGAACTTGTGTGACTTTTTTTCTTCACCAGGTTAGGGAAGTTTTCTGCCATTATTTCTTCAAATATGTTCTCTACCCTTTGTTCACTCTCTTCCTCTTCTGGTATCCCTATGATGCAGATGTGTTATACTTGATGTTATCCAAGAGGTCCCTTTGACTTTCCTCCTTCTCTTAAATCTCTTTTCTTTTTCATTTTCTCTTTGGGTGGATATTGTTGTCTTGTCCTCTAATTTGATGATTTGATCCGCTGCTTCATTTAAACTGCTGTTGGTTCCTTCTAGTGAGTTCTTCATTTTAAATATTGTAATCTTCATTTTTAACTGTTTTTTTGTATATAGTTTCTATATCCTTTTAAATACTTACTATCTTTTTGTTTAAGTTCTCACTGAGATCATCCATTCTTCCCCGAAGGTCTTTGAGTATCCTTATAACCATTATTTTAAACTCTGTATTTGGTATTTAGGTTACTTCCATTTCATCTATTTCTTTTAAATCTTTTTCTATGAATTTTCATTGTTCTTTTGTTTGGGGCATTTTTCTTTGTCACCTGATTTGCTCTCTGTGTGTTAGGTAGACGTGTTCTGTCTTCAAAATTTGCTTTGATGGCTTTATGGTAAAAGTGTCTCATTGTTAGGATCAGTTGTGCAATCTTCCAGAACACCTGAGCTCCATGATCCAGGAGTGTTTCTTCTGAGTAATGTGTTCTCCTTGTGGTTGAGTCGTGAACACTGTTAGCCTTGTCATGAATAGAATGAACGCTTCATACTTGGAGACTGAAAGGGTAGCCCTTGACCATCATGTGTGAGATGCTGTGCAGGAGCTGCCCCTTGAGGCAGTATTGTCCCCAGCAGTGCCTGGTGCCTGTGAAATACCCCTTTGGGTGTACTGATTTTGTGGCTACTTGTGTCAAGCTCTGGTGTGGTCTGAAGCCCAGCACTGGTTTTGTTGGTTCTGAGTCTACTTGGGTGGGTTTCAGAGACAGGTCACTGTCAGATGTTATATGTAGTTGGTTTTGGGCTACCTTTCTGCGGCTACTAAACAATTCACTCTTTGTGTTTATGTCTACTGTACCTGCTTGTGCATGTGAGGGGCCATCTGTATAAAAGCCAGCTTCTTCCTGCTTAGAGCTGGGGGCAGCTCTGTAAATGGACTGAGGATCCCTGAGGTTCACCTCCACATTTCAGCTACTCTGCTTCTCCCTGAGGTTGCCTGGTTTTCCTACAGAGCCATTTGATGAGAGACTGTAGAATGAGCTCAGACCAGTTGATGTAGGGCTACTGGGTCCCCTACTTGTGGGTCACACAGTCGGCAGGATACTCAATGAGGGGAAATTAGGCCATGCTTTAAAGTCAAATCCTTCAGTATTTACCAGAACTCTGGCTCTAATTTCCTCAGAGGTGTTCACTGACAATTTAGTATGGATACAGTCAGCCTTCCCTTTTGCAAGAGTGAATTCAGCATCTATGAACTGCAGGAAAGAGATCTAAAAAGTCTCCCATGTGGACTATACTGGACCAGCCTGCAGGAGGAGGCTAAACTCTCTGCCCCATTTCTAGGCAGTTGCCTCAAAGGGTCTCACACTTTGAAAGGCCCTCTTCAGACCTGTCCTTCCCTCCCCATGCAGAAATGTACCCAGTGGGGAAATTCAGGACTTGGCAGGGATGATTTAAACAATTTCACATTGAGGGTGGTGCCTGCAAACTTGTAGGAGCGAGGTGGGTACTTCTTCCCCTTCCAAGGGTAGCATGCATGGAGACTGCTTTTGCCTCCCTTCTAAGTATCCAAGCAGTTTTATCCTTCTGTCTAATTCTTAACAATAGCCTCCCCAGGAGACACAATCTGAAACTATTGGCTCGGTGTGGCACCTGGCTTTATGCTAATCTAAGCAGAGTGGGGTGGAAAGTCCCCACCTTGTTCAACACCCTGGTCTCTCTGTGCAGCTGGTCTCAGCAGGGGAGGATTCAAAGTCCCAGTCTGGCACGGCTTGACTCGGAAAATTGCGTGATGGGCCAAGAATTCCCAACTCTATGTAGCTCCTCTGTGCCTCCAAACTCAGCACCAGGAGTGGTCCAAAGATGAGGGGTGGGGCATCACCTCTGTGCTCCGGAAGGGGGCGATCAGTCTTCTTCCCCAAGCCCCTTGTTTAAATCACTTTCTAGATCTCCACCCAAAGTCTCCTCAGAAAATAGAAGGTCCCTCAAAAACTCTGTTGGTTTTAGCCTGCAGATGCCTCTGCAGGATCCACAGGCAGCAGCATGGCCTTTCTAGCAGCCTGATCCATATTGTGAACTATAAAAATGTGAAAAATTTCATTAATTTGCATGTCATCCCTGCAGAGAGGCCATGCTAATCTCTGTATCATTCCAATTTTAGTATATATGCTGTCAAAGTGAGCACCTGATCAGTTATGTTCGTTCTCTTTTTCTTTCTTTTTCTCTTTCTTTCTTTCTTTCTTTCTTTCTTTCTTTCTTTCTTTCTTTCTTTCTTTCTTTCTTTCTTTCTGTCTCAGTAAATAGCAACACCAGTTATTTACATTATCACTGAAATCCAACACTACTATTTTTTTTTCCTTTTACCACAGTCTCAAATCCATTAATGAGAAAGACTTGATCAATTTATTTCAAACTATACTCAAAACCTGGTTTCTTCCAGGGTTCCACTGTGGTACTCCCATCTAAGTTTCCAATATTATTTAATTGAATTATTGCAATAATCACTTTACTTAACCACCTCTGACCTCCAACACAGTTCCCTATAACAGAGCCAGAGTAATACTTATTTTTAAAAAAATTAGAATCTGCTACTCCTCTGTTAATATTCTGCAATATTTTCACTAAAATTTTAATTCTGACAGTTGCCTACCTTTCTTACCATATTCTTCTGGGATTAATATAATGTAAACCTAATAGACCTAATCTATTCTCATGCTGAAGATTGCAATCTGATTTGAAAATAAAATCCTTGAAACATATTTGGAAATAGATAAAATTTTCCCTGGTATTTAGGTATATATTTTTCATGTTTTTAAATTATAATAATTAATTGCTTTTAATGTCCATGTTTTTCTTTTTTTTCCTTGTCCCACTCTGGCTTGTGAAAAGAAAAAGCCTAGGTAAATTATTTAACTAACACACCAACATACTTATTTCTTAATGTGGAAATACTATAGATAAACATACAGAAAGGTAGAAAAATAGGAAAAATGAAAGAAAGGAAGAAAGGAAAGGAAAGGAAAGGAGGAAGGAAGGAAGGAATGAAGGAAGGAAAGGAGGAAGGAAGGAAAGGAAGGAAGGAAAAGAAGGAAAAGAAAGAAGAAAGAAAAAGAAAGAAAGAAAGAGAAAGAAAGAAAGAAAAAGAGAGAAAGAAAGAAAAGAAAGAAAGAAAGAAAGAAAGAAAGAAAGAAAGAAAGAAAGGAGGTCACATGTATTACTATAATATGAACTATATTTTTAATAAAGTGGCAATAGTCTAACATTTCCTCCATGGAGCATGGAGATAGGAGAGAGGGGCAAGTAGAGAGAAAGGCATGGAGAGGAAAAAGGATAATAATACTGATAGTACCAGGGTGTAGCAATGATAGGTATTAAGTGGAAAAAGAAAAGTCCATTCTTTTCTTGCCATCTCCTTATCTCCCATAGACCTGGGTAACCAAAAGAAATAGAGAAAATTGAACCTGTGAGTTCATAGTCAGATCTGTCTCATCATCTTCAACTCTCTCCCCTTTGTACCTTAGAGAGAAATAAATTAGCAGCTAATCCAACTATCCTCTTAATTGGGTAGATCTAGTATGCCTAGAAGTAAGGACGCCAGGATGTATAGTAGTTTAGTGGCTCCTTCTGTGTAATAAAGCTGTCAGAGCTGACATCCCAGTATTCATGGATCTTTCTCTCTGCTCTTTGAGTGGGGTGAGGAGATTATGCAGATGAGTCACAACTGTGTCTGCCTAGGAATCCTTGTCTTGTGTGCTTGGTATACTCTGAATTTGTTTTTATATCTCTGAATACAGCAGCACGATAACCAAGAGGATAAACATCTTAACAAAGCTGTTTTAGCAGCTCCACTAAATGGTTTGACCAGGCACAAATAAAAATTTGTGCCTGGTCGAATTTTGAGTGGATACAAGAAATATTCTCCCATTCCAATCTTCTATTTGTGCTACTCAAACCTCTTTCTATCTGTTTCTCTTTCCCTTTTTCACTTTCTTTCTCTGTTTCTTTTTCTTTCTTTCTCTCGTCTCTTTGTCTTTTCTTTGTTTCTCACTCCATTCCTCTCCTCTAAATACTTAAAGTTTTTGTTTATGTTTTAGGTAAGCTCTAAGATAATTGCTTAGAATTTCTTTCCTTAAAGTGAGAGTTTCCCTTTTGTAGCCTTGCTAGCTCAGAAAGAGCAAAGGCAAATATCAGGCATCATTAAGAAAATATATCAATTAGGACACCAACCAGGATATCAGTTAGGATTAGGAAAAATATCAATCGTTAGGAAAGATATCAATAATCTTTAGTAAGTTTTAGATTACAGAAGGTCTTTTATTTTATTTTTTAGTTTTTAAAGATTGTTTATTTACTTATATTTAGAAAGAGGGGAAAGGAGGGAGAAAGAGAAGGAGAAAAACATCAATGTGTGAGAGAAACATTGATTGGCTGCTTCTCTCACGCCTCCAACCTATGACCTGGCTTGCAGCCCAGGCATGTGCACTGAATGGGAATCAAACTGGTGACCCTTTGCAGTATGATGCTTTACCCACTGAGTCACACCAGTCGGGGTATCAGAAAAAGCCTTTTAAACTATGGTTCAGAATTTAAAGTTTATTCTGAGTGAGAGGGAAAATGTTTATAGAATTTTGAGCAGAAAAGATTCCTAATTTGATTTACATCTTAAAATATAAAGCTTTGGCTTGAAGTGTGTGAAGACTAGTCTGTAATGCATAGAGGGTAAGACTGGGAGCAGAGAGATAAGCTAGAATGTTAATGCAGAAATATACCACCAGTAAAATCATGGCTAGAGCTAAGGTGCTATTCTTTTTGCCAATCTGTCTTGTCTTTCCGTAGTTTCAAATAAATGTCTTACAAATAATTCTATTTTTTTTTTTTTTTACTGAGAAAAGAAGCCACCATAAGTGGGTATATTTTTTATTGTTATCCTATTACAGTTGTCCCGATTTTCTCTTGCTGCTCCCTTGTGCCCCATCCACCCCCGTTTCCACTGTCAGTCCCTACTCTTTTGTCCATGTCCAGGGGTCCTTGACATAAGCGAGTATTAAACTCATTTTTCTCTACTTTTCCAGTGTTTCACTGAGGATACTATAGAGTCTCAGGTATTTTTTTTTACTGGTTTATCTAGTTTGGAGCTCAATGAAATACTTACATTGCAACAATTTCCTGAGAACCTCTTAGAGACTGTAAAGAGTTATACAAGCAGAATTTTTCCCTGAAGAAAAGAATTTCAGTTTAAAGGAGGTTCTCAAGTTTTCTCCAAAGAAAAATCAGACGTTAGAGTCATACTACTTAGTCTAAATTTGTATCTAATCTTTATTTTTACATTAGGGTTAACCATTCTAAATCCTCCTGATAGCAGCAGCCTATGGAAAATGAAGTGAAATCTTAGAGATTTACCTGCAGTGGGTTTACCCAGATGAGTCATTCAGTGACATTCTGTTGACTGAGAAGTAAAGGCATTATTGTATTTGCATCTTTTCCAGCATGGTTTTTTAACCCTCCTGGAAATAACAACCTATCAAACACAAATCTGTATAAAATTATAGTTCTGCTCCAAGCCCTTCAGTACAAAATAGCCAAATTTACCTTCTAGATAAATTGTGGACTAATACAATGTTAGAATGGTCAAGAAACATTATTTCAATAATCTGTTGTTTCATATATTAGAGTTTCAGAAATTTTTAATTTTATTTTTGATAAAGGCTCTTTTAAATGTCAAGCCATGTGTCAAAATTGACCTAATCCCCTTTTAAGAATGGCAAGTTAAGATTTTATATTTTAGCGTTATGAGATTAAACATATGAAACTGTCATTTCTTTCTAGGTCAAAATTTTTTTGATACTGCCAATTTCATTTGATTCAAATATATATATATATATATATATTTGAATCAAATATATAGAAAGATTATGAACTAATTCAAATACGTGTATAAGAAACTCTTTTAACAGGCCCAATTTAAGATTTTGATGCAAACTGATGAAAAGATACAATAAAGGATGCTTCAAGGTAGATATTGAATCCAGGAAATGTATATAGTACCCATAATTATAAATGATGGATGTTTCCTCATGTATAAGAATAATTATTTCCTAATTTGAATTTCCCTTAAGTTCTAGAATCAACAGAGTTTAATCTCATTTTACTTTGTTGTATTTTCTTCAAATAAATTCAACTACCACTGTAGTATGTATATATCACTTACCTTGTCCATCTTCCCAAGTCAAACTCTATTTTTAATTCTATAATATATCCTTTCAGATTTTCTATAGATATTGTAAATGTATTATATGTAGAATAACCTTTTTCTCTTGCACCATAATTTCTGCCATTTTTTTAATCCTTGAATGATGCCATCACCAAGACCCTAGCCTGAAGAAAAGAAATCTTAAAATCAACCTTAGGTTCTCTTTTATCGACTTTGACTTTTAGTAAATCAACAAAATATACTGATTCTACCTCAGAAATATGTCTTAATTACTGATTGCCTCCTTTACATCCACTGATTTTGCCTCAGTTCAGGTCCTCAGGCCTTTATAGATTGTTGCAAAGGATTCCTAATAGTTTTCCTTGAGACTAGTTTTTCCTGGTCTGGTAAATTGGTAAAGTATCTTTTTTAAATGACGAAAAGTAAGTTGATATTATCAATTCCAAGATCAAAACATTCTACTGACACTTTATTTTTTTTTAAATGACATATAATTGACATATAACATTTTACTAGTTTCCAGTGTACAACATTAGCGACCATTACCACACAAAGCTATTTTTTTTCAAGTGATGAAATCTACTCTCTTAGCAAGTTTCAAATATGCTGATGTATAAAAAACCCTGACAGTTTTTTGTCTGTCTTTTTGTAATACAAGTGCCTGACTTCAGTTTTGATTTCCAATTCATCCATTTTCAAAGAAGCACCTACTTCAAGATGGTTTTCTGGAATAAAGGCATTGCCAGCCACATGATGAGATAAAGAGCCAGGCCACTTCCCCCAACAGAGGCTCTTTCTCTTTTTTTAGAGATTTTGATTTATTTTGACAACTGACCATTGGACAACTTGTTTTCTTCTCTTCTCACATTTTAAATTCTTGCTCTTCTGTGTTAAATTCACCAACAAAGAGGGAGCCTGAAAAACTCTAGGCCCCCCCTCTCAACCCCAACGAAAGCATAACTTCAGGCTCTTGT